AAGTTGTTTGACCTTGTTTTCACAACTTGGTCATATTGGTAGGAAGACTTAGAGGAACGCACCTAGTCCGTAGTCCATTGTGGACGTGGTACATTGTTATATGGGACTAAGGAGGGCGATAATCACTGACGATGTCGAATACGATGCCGGCGAAACGTTTGGGAATGTACCACGTCCATGGTTTAACTTTGTAAATGATCATGCAGACCATGTTGCGAAAACTAGGTCAAACAACCTCTATTCACTAATGATGCCGTCTATGAGGCAGGTGAAACGTGTGAGAATGTACCAAGTCTACGGTCTGATGTTGGGAATTATTATAACTACTATGACAGAGGACTTCGGATCAGGTGTGTTCAACTAAGTCGCCCTGACAACAAGGATAAGTTACGTCATCCTTATGGTTATTTTCTTTCTCTTATTTTACAATAAAATCATGCTAACTCTCAAGAATATATTACCTAAGGCCTACTGGCCGCCTCGTACCTGTATACAAAGTGCCCATGTTCAAAAGCCAGAAGGTATCGGGCTGAAGTGACCGGCGACCTGTGGTAAAGCACCATCCCTGACATGTGCAATGTGTCAAGCTTCACCTCCACAGTGACCGTGTATTCGGGCCGCCATACAGCCTCGGTATCTTCCGATCCCCACTGCCAGCCTGAAGGGAAAGGAAATTTCAAATATCCGCCGGGCCTGAATCGGGGAAATCTATAATGTCGAAAGCCTGTAGATGGAGAGAAAGCAAAACATGAGTGATCAGACCTGGAAACCAAGAAGAGCAAAAAACGCATATTCAGGAATTATTATGTCTAAGACGATTATCTTCTCGACGGAGGCTTTTAACAGGAAATCAAGGCACACGTATGTCTCTTGTTCCTGATGTCTACTCAAACAGAATTAAGGAGAGTTGTCACCACGCAAGACCCGTAAACAAACTCGAAATTTGGTAATCAGATTCAAGTAGTTACGCTACATTGTTGCATCAGGATGAGCTAATTTCGCTAGTTCATAGAATGTATAAGGCCGTAAGAACATTATGAAGTAGCTAAATTTCCCTTTTTCTCTTACATTTAGACGCATATTTTCCATTTATCACGTTTTACTATGAACTAGTAAGTTGCAAGTGTTTAAAGCCTTCCTAGCATACTAAATCTGAAATAAAACGGAAGTTATTTTGATCGAGGATGTGAAGAGCAAAATGGTGTAGCTCACGGTATGGTCGCAGTCTCCTTTCGATTTATATAAGTTGGTTGACCTCCTGTTCGCAACTTGATCTTGTTGTCAGGACGACTTAGTTGAACGCGCCTAGTCCGAAGCCTCTGACATAGTAGTTATCAGAATTCCCAGTATCAGATAGTGGATTTGATACATTCTCTGACGTTTCCCCGGCAACGTAGTTGACATCATCAGTGACTCTTGCCATTCTCCGCACCAAACTACGCACTCGCCAAACAGACAAGTAAAGTCAATCCCTCGACCAACCTTCTACCGAAAAGGTTGCTATATAACTCCTCTTTTTGTTCTCTATCAACTCTTTATTCTCTAATCACACTCCCGCTCTGTCACAATTTATGACATGTTCAGATTCCACTGATAAAAAAAGTGGGCCCTTTGTAGAAGTTTTATCGTCTTTCTGGTCGACCGATTTCAATTGATTTCAATCGGTTTCAGTCCCATTGTGAGGTTTACTCTAGACACTGGTTCTCAAGGCTTTAGAAGTACGTACATTACCGCCTCACCGAGCAGAGCGCATAGGCTCTGATTCCCATGCTTGCAGATAGCAGGCATTGCCTTAACGGGTTGTTTTCTTGATTAAACCCGAGTTAAATGAGCAAACTGTGGACGTCTATTACTGGTCGCCTGCGGTACCCCCATGTAATTTCTAGTAAATTTTGGTCACAATGCCGAATTTCTATGGCACTTCTGCATATCCGTCTGCCTAGTTCTCTGAATGCCAGGCCCCCATAGTTGTACTGGTTTCTTCGAACAGTGATTGATGTCTGCTCGAAGAAATCCGTACAACTTTGGAGGCCTGACATTCAGAGAACTATGCAGACGGATATGCACAACCGTCACAGAAATTCGACATAATGGCAAAAAATGTATATAGATGGGCCAGGATAGATAAATTAGTGATAATGTAACCGTTTTGGTCGAGGGATTGTCTTCACTTGTCACCTTGACGTGTTTGTTGTTTGGTATGGAGAATAGCAACACTCACTGATGATGCAGCCTACGATACAGGCGAAACGTCTGAGAATGTACAAAGTCCGCAGTTTGATGCTGGGAATTATGCTGATTATTATGACGGAGGACTTCGAACAAGGTGTGTTCAACTAAATTGCCCTAACAACAAGGTCAAGTTGGGAAAAAGAAGTCAACCTACTTCTATAAAGTTATTTAGATTTTAGAGTTACAACTGTGCTTATTATTCCATGTTTCACTATGCCTATTGAGTACATTTTTAGCGGAACACCACTAAAAATGTCAGAGGCGACTCTCCGGAAAAGAAGGATTTTCTTCGAAGATATGAAGAAAGACTGGGTTTCGAAGAATTCATTGGTGATACATTGTTTACATGAGTTACCATTTCCAAAGAAAATTAGATTGAAAGAATTTGTGATTTGATCTCAACGGAAACCGAAGGAGGATTCCTGCTTAGGGCAGACTGTTGATATATGCAAAGATGTCTTTAACACACCGTCATTGGAGTTGCAGGAACATGAGCAGAGGACTTCTTCACGCAATTTAACAGGCCGCCCTACGCGGGAATCCTCCTTCGGTTTCCGATGACACCACATCACGAATTCCTTTTAACCAACTTTCCTTCGTACTGGAAAGTAATTTCACAATGATTTTCTTGATCGGCAAAATCTGGAGCTCTTCGAACTGCTAAAGTTTTGTATAGCCTACTTGGATCTTGTGGCCGAGGAAGTAACGTTAATTAATTAAAGAAGCTAAAAAAACTTTTAGATATTAAACGGAAGAAGATGAAATGTGCAATTTTTATCCACTTTTATTCCATTCTCAAACGATGAATTTAGGCTGAATGCTGCATTCACTTGCATTTCGAGTGAAAGTGTGTGAATTAGAGACTTCAAGCCAATCCCACCAAAAGTCGATTTCAGATTAGTCATGGCCACCTGTCGTTTAGCTTCACTGGAGCATTTTGATTGACTCCAGCGTCAACTTGTTCTTGAGTTGTCTATTATATGATGATCATCGACAGAACAAGGCACAAGTCAAACAGCTAATTAAAAACTAATACATCAAGAAAGCTCACTGCTCATCCCCACATGCTGAGGATGTAATCTAAATCTATGAATTTTTATAGGGCATAGAGTGATTTTCTAGTGCGTATGTAGGCTGTATATGATTACAAGACTGAAGGATACTCTAACGGTGTGATTTAGTAAAAAGGGAATAGAAATATGGGAAATAAATTTACTTCTTGAAAGAGCTGGTAGGGCGCCCGCAGTTTACGGCCTTCCAAAGGTGCCTAAATAGACTTAGATTGATTGTAAATGATAAACTATTATGTCTAAAAATTAATTTATTTATATTCATGCAGTTAAGAAAAGTAACAGAATCCCCGAAATATTAAGGTTGAAAACTCATGAATTTTATATTTGATCAATTTCAAATAAGGAATGTTTTGTAAAGAGATTTGAGGTAGAATCCTTTTCAACAATATCCTCTGGTTTATGGAGCCATCCGAGGTATAATGCTCACCCTGGAGGAGCATCCAGAGATTAAGGATGGAATAAAATACACCTTCGAAGGTTTATTAATCTATCCATTGATAATACATAGTTCACCTTTGACGGTAATTTCCTTTAATATGCTCAAGGACTTTCAGTGGAATCTTATAATCTCCTGGTTTGGAGAATAAACACATCGCGAAGTTTGACAATCCCTTAATAGAATAATTAGTTCTGAACAAATGTTGTTTTTCTAGATAAATAACGATTATTTTTTGATTTGGTAGCATGGCAAGGAAAGACTATGTAAGAAAAAGTGGGGTTTTTAGCAATAAAATTATTGAGCCCACTTCCATTTTTAGTAAAGGTGTGTGGTGGAAATATTCAGGGTCGATTTCACCAGAAGACGAAGGAGAATTCCTCACGGCCAGCTGTCATTTCGCTTTACCCGAACATCCTTGTTGACGCTGTCTCCAAGGCAATCTTCCTCAATTCAATCCTATTTTGGTAGGATCGAGCTTCGAATCTGTTCAACTCACACTCGTTCAATAAGCAAAGATTAAATGGTTTTCCCCCTTTTCCCATCCAACTGAAAATAAATATTAACTTCATATTGGAATCAGAAAATAGTTGGAGATTACCTTTTTTGATAATATGATTAAAGCGAAAGATGATAGATTGTCAAAATACATTAATAGTGAACCAGCATATGCTGACGTTTTTCCTGATCAATGTTAAAAAACTAAGAATGGAATTACAAAGTCAATGAATATTATGAATATGAGGC